GAAGCACATGGACAGCTTAGCGCAAACTAACGCGTGATCGGATTCGAGGTTAGTGCTCCAGTACGATCGGCAGTCTTGAATGCAACCCCGCCATTTGTGGTCTATCTGCATTTGTCACTAACTTGAGGAGAGTGGACGCCGAGTGGCGTATAGGCAGGAATGGGCGAGGAATAGGCAGTGGTCGGAACACTGAGCCGACAGCCGTTCCTCGTTTTTCGAGCGAAAGGAATCTAGTCCGCCTCACTCGAAGTAAGTTGGCCTGCCCTAGCATTCATATCTCCTGTTAAAACCACTATACCAGCCCGATTTGCCTTACGCAAGAGGTCGTGTAGCTTTTGGTAGAAAGTATCTCTGACTGTATCTGGGCTACAGTTTGTAGGTGCGTAGGCTGAGACGACAAACAAGTTGCGTCTTTCGGAGCGATGAATATTTACTTTGCACGAGCCTCCAAGTCTCACTGCACATAACCTACTGTCGACTGGGATCCAATCCAGGAGGGTGGTTTCAGCTCTCTCACTGAGAGCCACTCCAACGCCAGCAAAACCAGAAGCCGCATTCTCAGGGTCCCCAGAAAGACGCAGGTGAAACTTTGCGGATGAGTTTGATGGGGGCTTCAATCGGATGGCGGAGCTAGAGTCTTGAGCGCGAGTTTCTTGAATACAACATACATTGATGGCTAGGGTCTCGAGGGTACGAGCTAAACATGCCTGCTGTCCTATACGCATTAAGGTACGCACGTTAAATGTGGCTAGTTTGAATGGGCATCGACGACGAAGAAGTACTTCAACTGGTAGAGAAAGATTCGGTGAGACTTGGACGCTATTCGAGGTAGGACGTGAGAGAATAGGTACAGAATTTTTATCGGGGGCACAACTGGTAGTACGATTATCTGAAGACCTTGATAACAATGAGAATGCTTGAGGGGGGTGAATGTGAGGTGGAGGAAAAGGTGGAAAAAAGGGAGATGTGCACGGTGTAAAGCGTATTTTTCATAAGCGAGGAGAACTGAAAGAACGAATCATTGCTTAAACTGAAGTTAATTGTTTGCATTTTGGACTGTTGTACTACTCGGACGTCCGGAGCAAACTTTGTTCGAGGATGCACTCTAGCCTTAACGCAATTAAGCGCGAGCTATAAGGCAGCAGTATAAGCCGGTGACCTGTCGGTTGGTTCATTCGCCTTCTCTGGAAGATCTTGTCGGGTAAATGAAATTCGACAAGGGGGCAATGGCCGTATTCAGTGGCGGGCCACACTCGCCACATCACAGCGCTGTTATAAGATACATGTGGTGTTTTGTGTGGAGAACCCTTGACAAGTGGTAAACTCACCACATCCTTGAGCACTGCCACGGATCGTCCGCGACCGTTTATTTAGTGAGAATAAACCCACCTTATTCACAGTTGACTGCCAGTTAGCGGCCGTTCCCCTATCCGCGGCCTGGGGACGCGCTCGGTAGCATACACCTCCGCTCGGTCGAGGCTACAGAATCTCCCCATAGATTTCATCGGTCGCAAAAATTCCAGAGAAACAGATAGGACTTCTGTAATTCGCTGTGCTTAACTAATCATATATATGGAGAAGTTTATTGACTAGGCAAACTGTCACATAATGTATGAAACAATAAGGCTCGGAATCAGTTACTAAATTGCACTAAATTACCCAAGTTGGATATTTGATGAATGACTACCTAATTGCGTCTCTAATACTTAGTCTGGTTTTCCTTGACTAAACGCGTATCCCCTGGGGCTGTGAGCTGTCAAAGTGTCATACTCGAAGACGAGACATGAACAAATGTATGATCCAAATAAACAGCGATGGATGAACACCGATCACTTGTGATACACTCAACAGAAGAGAAAGAAAAACGAGCGGTTTCAATAGAGGATTGTACATATAAAAAGTCATATGACACAGGTGAGGACTGATCAGAGGACATTTTCATATCACAGATTCCAACATATCATGAGTGGCGAAAAGATATATAAATGATGGGATGATTTCCTTTACGTCTTAAGGAGACAGTTGATTCAATACATCCTCAGTGTGATGCGGGCTGAGGGGAAACTCAAGAGACTGACCTGAAGAACTAGCGCAACACCTCATAAGGCAGGCAATGATGTCAGAAAACAGCAGATCTGAATAAGGCTTGAATTCCGTATTTTGTGGCTTTTTATGTGCATGTGTGTTTTGTGATTCGTGAGCAGTCAAATTGTGTCCGAGATAAATCGAAATACCAGTTTGGCCAAAAATGCGAACATGCTGAAAACCACAAGAACAAAAAGACTAGACAATTGCCATGGGTTTCCGTTGGTTGTGGGATCACCGTATGGTCGAGTACGAACCGTTGAGTTGGACTCAATTGCTTGCTCCCTCTCCAAATTCTCCTTGATTTCCTGAAAACAAGGGAAGTCGAAGCATGATCATCCGTTAAAGAAAAAAACAGATGAATACAGCGTCAATATGACCATAAAATTCGAGCAGTAGTTCCGGCGCCAAACGAACACACCGCCAGCAACGACCTGGCAAATACATTTCTCAAAGCAATCGCCATTGGGGTCCCTGAGATCATGGTATCCGGTGGTTAGAAGCATTGAGTGATGTGGCTGAGTGTCTCAAACAGTGGCGCTCGTGCATCTACTCAATGTCTTTGCAACCCCAATCGGTATGAATTTTCTGTCTTCCATTTGACTCTGTTCTCAACATTCCAATTTCCATTCTGCTCCAAATGGGTAGCCAAAAGACCAACTAAAACCGGCGCATGGTTACTGGTTGTAAAAACTGAAGCTGTCATTCCTGGCTGCTACGTTCTGATCGCTGCTACAACTGATCGCATTTTCCACTACATTTTGCAGTGTTTCTGCTAGTAGTAGTTACAAATAATTGACTAGCAACCGCCTGCTTATGTCCGTACTGTCCCCTGCTTATTGGTGGAGAAGAATAGGACCCAGAGATTAATTTCACCAACATTCATTGATCCCCGATCAAGACTTGAATGAGTTAGATCGTGAAGTGAAATAAACTGAAGAGCTTAAAGTCGTACGAAAGCCCCAGATGTTCTGCAGAATAATTTGTTTGGTCTAGCAAATAGTGGAGCTGAACTTCACCTATGGAACGAAGTTCTTGACTTCGAACATGCCGATGACATCGCTTTGCTGGGTGATAATACCCAG